TAGGGTCTTATGAGGCGAGCTCATGACGGCTAATGAGAGCTGATGGACGAAATACCTCGCGCACACCTCATGAAACGCAACGTGGATTACAACGTAGCGGCTAATTCAAATATGTGCGGGTTAGTGGAGCCATGGAGCAAGTAAGTTCAGACAACTCTTCTGAACACAACCCTGCCCTCATTTCACGAGGGAAGAGAGAGCGTCTTTGTTGCACGGCTTCATCAGCTGCATTCTGATTCTCTCTTCATTTTTAAACTGTTCGGCGCCCGCAATCTCGTTATCGACAGCGATTGCCTCACCAATTCGACCTGGATTTGTTGGTTTTACTGAACTGAGAGAAATTATATGTATGCTTCAAGTACCATAAAACTTTCAGAGCTCCAACAACTCCAAGGCTCACAAAGATAAGAGAATGAAGGTGTTGAGGAAGAGAGAATATCGATTACTTCATATGGCCTCCTGGATAGGTTTGCTAGTTTTTCTATTGAATATTATACTTGCTATTGCATTCCAAGAGGAAAAGGATAATGCAAAATGAACAAAAGGGCGAGAAAGCAAAAGACAAGTACGTATGGAAACAGTGAGGAAAGTATGACTGTCCAGTGCAAACGACTAACAATAAGATAAAACGTGTTAAGGTAGTGATGAACATACATAGAGAAAAGTATGAATAGAGAGACTAGGAATAGGGATAGATTGGATGGACAGAAAAACTAGGCAAGGGGGGGGGGGAGAGGTCATAGTAAGGAATTCCTCGACCATCGCTCTCTGCTGTGCGAGAGTAGTGCCGAGAGTGAATGTACGCGCGGAGAGCACAGACGGCTCGCGGGTGGCGAGAGTGAATGTCCGCGCGGAGAACGTAAAGGATCAGGCGAAAATCCTCGACGTGCCGTTGAGGAATCCTCAAGCAATATTCACCCTGGATACAGCTCTTGAAAATCCGGTAGGGATAGGCTTTTTAGGGACAGATAAAAATGATGGAAACCTAGCGATGAAAGGGTTGAGCTGGACGAGCTTGCTAGTCAAGGTTAATTCAGGAGCCATGCGAGCTGTACTAAATCCATTTTCATTTTTAGTAAGTGGAAGACATGGAGGAAACATAAAGAAGTACGGAGGAACGTGAAAACAACAATAGATAAGCTGATAGAGGTGTGAACAGGGACAGAGAGATAGGATAAACAGTTGAGATGTGGAGAGATACGGAGCAGCGAGGAGAGAGAAAAGCACAAAAAGAGACATACGTCGGCAAATGGATAGAGACGAGGACACATGGGAAGTAACAACGGTATGACGCAGAGGATCCGACAGCTAAACAACACAACCAGGTGGTCAGAAAGAGAGTAAGCCAGCACGTAGCCCAAAGAGAGACAGGCAGAACAAAGACAGATAGGCACATAGAGCACACTGGCAGAGAGAAGAACAGATGTTTAAACAGAGGGACAGGAAGAGGAACTTAAAAATCAAAAATACAATGAAACGAAGAAGTTAAAGACCAAGAGACTGATTTTTAATACACATTTTTACAGTAGCCATCCAGCTGTTGCTTATTCTATACATATACGCCAAAGCATTCATTTTCCCAATTTTAAACCTATCGACTTCACTCTTCTACACATTCTACAGTGCCCTTGGGTAGGATTTTATCCATTTCTTATTTATCTGGGCAGAAATTTCCAGAGATGAACTGATGGGCTTCGTTTCAAGCAGGGTCAGTCGTACGCTGGGCAGCTATCGACGGGAAACAGCCCTATCTGAGTTCTTTGAGGGAGGGAGGGGTCATTTGGGGTTGGCGATGGTCAAAAGGCTGAAAAGGGAGAAGCATTTGCGGAACTCGAACGGACGGACGCGGCTGAGGGATCGTATTCGACGAGTTTTTTTTTGACAACTCTGGCATATACACCACAGGAGAAGCATGAGATTCAAGCATTGGCGTTCCTAAAGGCATTTTTAAATTCAGGGGGGGGGTCGGCGGGTACCCGACAGGAGGCCCACCGCGACAAGAATTCAGACAAACGGGGGGGGGGGGGGGGGCGGGCGCGGGGGGAGGCAGAGTCAGCGGACGAGTCGCGCGCGTACTTAGGTGATTTCGCGTCAAGTTAAATAGAATGTCCCATTGTACGTCCTACATCGCACAGCACGCGCTGCGACTCGTCCGCGACTCTGCCTTCTTGCCGCGCGACGGGCCTCCTGTCGGGTACCCGGTGGGTGGCAATTGGAAATGGAACAATGAAGCTTGACCTTGGTTCCAGTTATCTTTCAACCGACATCTGGATGCATGAATGATGTTAGTATTCCAGAGTTCTTTATGCGGGTATCGGTGCCTATCTCTTGGTGATCTTCAGTGATGCACTTCGCCATTATATTTGTATAAAGCTGGGAATGAGAAAATACGTCGCACAGCCAGCAAATTCTTCAATCGCATTCATTAATGTCCATTGAACATTTTATGCGATGGTTCTCAGCGAATACGGACGTCGTCTTTAAAGTAGATTTACCTGGAAAAGTGTGGTGCTAACCATAAGGTACTTAGACAATGCTCATCTCTCCTTTTTGTAATTGTCTTTCTCTCCTTTTCCTCTTTTCTCCTCTCTTTACCTCGTCATTCCTTCTCGTCTACTTTGCCATGTTTCTCATGGGTAAAAGTTATTTTTGCCAAATACGATAAAAATTCTCGAAGATGGTCTTGTTGCACGAATTCATGAGAAGACTACAAAATCGGGGTCAATTTTCAATATTTCAATTTACAATTTTTTCTGAATGGCACCGTGAAAGTTAAAGCGGTGAAGAAATGGTTCAAGGTCCTGCGTAGTGGCAAAATTCCTTGCGTTTTAGGTTGGGGCCTCCAAATTTTCTCTAAATAGCGCCAGCGCCAGCGTCATTTCCATTACCAGAACCAGGTACTCTTCCTAGGAATTCCATACATTGCTCCACCGATGCAAAATCATCACTCAAAGCAAATTTTTCCCATCGTTCTTCAGCCTTCGGGAGGAGGGGGGGGGTGCCGCTTAGCGAAAACGAACCTCAACTGTGTAGTCCAAGTGCGAGTAGTTAAAGCATGCGGAAAAATTTTTTAAAAACGCTCCACACCCTGAAAGACCTCCTTTGTGAAAATTTTTGCTTTCGAAATGTTTTACCCCAACCTAGTTCAATTTCAAGAGAGCAGTACAGCGAAGTAGGTTACCGCTCAATGGAGAGTTGAGCTACAAGAGTTGAGCGGAGCCTTCGCCCATGGCACAAATGCGACCACTCTCCTCAACGGATCACTAATTTCTTCTCCTCCACGAAAACCTCCCGATCTTGCCAATTGAGATTCTATGGGTGTTTCAATACGATTTTATTATGTTAAAGAGTTTTATTTCACGTAGCCACACACATTTGTATATATGCTGTACATAGAATAATGTATAAGGAACGCCAAACTCAAATAAAGTGTTTATAAAGTCATGAGATAAGTGGAAATGGAAGAGGAGTAAGCTACTTCTTCGAAAGCAGCTAATTTTCGATCTCAAGCCTCGTTCGTCCTGATTCAAAGGTAAAGTCCGGGATTGGACTAATGTGTTATGCGCTTGTAAATGAAGATGTGAAGCGAAACGACAGTAATGGAAAATAGAAAGACCGCCGACAAACACGAAAACAAAGTCTCCCTCCCAGTAGCGGCATAGTGGAACAGCACTGATTTGTGGGCGGCGTGTGTGGTGGAAGGTGGAGCATATGGTGAACCGTTGGGTACCCGACAGGAGGCCCGTCGCGCGGCAAGAAGGCAGAGTCAGCGGACGAGTCGCAGCGCGTGATGTGCGATGTAGGACGTACAATGGTACATTCTATTTAACTTGACGCGAAATCACTACAGTACGCGCTGCGACTCGTCCGCTGACTGCCTTCTTGCCGCGCGACGGGCCTCCTGTCGGGTACCCGAACCGTTGGGCCTTAGCGCTTCAGCCTTGTTAAGTAGATGGGTACACACATACTCTGCGCTTGCGTTCCACTGCATATTTCTCGAGCATCACCTGGTCCAGGACTCCCGAACTTCGCCTTTAAGAAGGTCTCACGTTAAATACATTCGTTGAAGAAATAGTGCTGAAAACCGAAATGATCAGAGTCTGAAGAGCGCAAGAGCTCTAATAGAGAGAAAATGTAGGAATACAAGAAGTAGTGTCTCAGTAATGACCAGCCCATAGGTCACCATACCTACTGTCCAGATATGGCCGAAACTCGTCAAAGTACTCTTTGGCAATGATGAGCAATGGATCAAAACTTGAGAAGTAGGCGAGGCGATGAAAGTCCGGTCCCTGAAACTATGTGGTTTGAAATCTGACGCAAAGATCAACATCGGAAGATGTATAGTCACTTGTATAGCAATCGAGTTTGAGATTTCGAACAACTGGGCATCTGCTGCTGTGCGTTCTCTTCTTTTCGAAAGCGATTAAAAAGTTTCTTGAAACCCTTCTTTCCAGCACTATTTTACTTTGACACAAAACAAATCTTACAGATGCGCTCTTTTTGGTGGAAAGACTGAAATTTAAGAATTTCATTTCCCAAAAAAGAAGTAGAAGAAAGAGAAAGAAAAGCACAGCTCCTATGTGTGAGGAGCATATGGCCTGGTTTAGAGGAGCATAGCCGAAGGGATAATGATTAGAAAGTAAGTCTGCCACGGAAGATACGCATGTAAATGTTCATCATTGTAGACGACACCCCACTAGTAATTGTTTGATTGACGCTGGATCTTGGATCTGCTCTCGCAAATCTGCGGAAACGATTCTCTGACGTATTATGAAAGCGAAAATCAGTGGGTAAGCTCTTCGTAACAAAAGGCACCTTCGACTTGGTATCCTTCCCTTGTGAGAAGTGGGACCGGAGAAACAGGTTGCGACAGCGCGGCGCGAAGGGCGTCAGATTAGCGCTTCAATTTCGGATACTCTTCCCTTTCTCTTTCATTCTTCATTTCCTCTTATTTTTTCCTGATATCTCTCGAGTTTCGAACAAAAGAAAGCGATCAAGCAAGTGTCATACACTGGTGTGGCAAACATAAGGAAGAACGAAGTTTTTCCAAGCCGTGTTACTGGCGAAAAACATAGCGCTGTGGAACCTAATCACACATGGAAAGAGCTGCTACGCTTCCAGTACAGAAAGCAATCGACAGGAACCGTTAAACGGCATACATAGCTATCGATAAGTTATGTTGGTTCATCTATCTCGTCCTTAAGTTTTGCACACCAGAGTATTTTTCGAATTCGTACGATAAAATGATTGCTTTTGAGATAAACTACCAAAATCCAATCAAGCTGATAGTATATATGCAGCGTTACCGACCTCAGCTACAGAATTTCGCTCGACCCCCCATCTAGCCTGCATCTCAACATGAATCATATCACGACCGGTGGAGACTACCGCTGTTGGAGGTTGTCATTCGGGTCTAGGCCTTCCGCACCATGCGCAGTACAAAACTGTCGCTCTATATTATATTGCAAAGAGTATGTGTCTTTCCCTTAAGAACATCCACACCCGTCTCGTTTCGACGACAGCGTATTGATCGATTCTTTGAAAGAGCCCATGCCTTTTTGGAGCTGCGAACTCCTTCGCTTTCAAAGTAGATCCTTCGAACCAAAATTCCACACGCTGTGTAGTGAGCGTCGAGAACACTATAGAATGACATTCATTTTGAATTACAAGCCTCAAAAATGTTTCCCCTTGATCTTCACCTTAACCCGCATATACGGTAATCGTTTTGATCTACCGCCGTCGAAGCGTGCCGACGACAAACACGTGCGTCCCGCCGAAATCGAGGGACTGGCAAAAAGCGAGGACTATTGTACTACAGGCGTGCTATAGCGAGAAGCGCAGGCGGCCAACGAGGGGTGCGGCGACTAGCCATCGACCGTGGTAGAATCAAATGAGCTGCCACAAACATCTGAACGATCAAAAATCCGCAAGATCAAAGAAATTCATATTACATGTTCTCCCCATTACAGAATTTATGTATGCATGTTGGATAGAGCTTATCCGACGCCGATCTTAACAATTTGGTGACCATTTTCTGAATATTTTTTTCACAGAACTACAGTGGTGAGAAGGGCGAGTGGTGGAGTGACTCTCTAATGGATTGGTTCCATGTAAGGCTGCTAGTTTTGTACCTGCACATTTAGCAACTATCAGACCTTTCCTAGCATGATGTTTACCTCGCGCACGACCCGTAATTAGTACGTTTTGTGCTTGTAAAGATTTAGCCCTGCATAATATTAACTATGTTCCAGATTAAATTTTTGGCTTTGATGCACTATTGCAAGCCCAAGGCAATATATGGCGCCAACGACAAAAGCGGATGTGATGTTGTGATCAGGACGTCGAAGCTCCCAAATGTAAGTTTTTCGTGAAAAGAAAGTGTGACGAAAAACTGGGGTCACGATCAAACATGGTGGTCCTATTTGTGATCTGGCTTTGAAATGAACCCCTAGAGGCGAAGTCGGTGAAAAAAATGACCTTTGGGGGGGTAGGTCGCTCCAAAGGGACTAATGCTTGTGCGTAACTCGATTTCGCCGCAAAAATAATAAATCCAGATGAACTTCCATATTGCTGACTTTTTGTAGCGAAACTTGGAGCGGGTCCCATTGGACCCGCGTGCGAAAGCCGCAGGCGAGGGCAAGTTGAGCTTTTTTGCCGCAAAGTTCAAGTAATTCTGTTGGGCTTCACTCCTCTGCGCACCCACCCCGAACAAATATTAAACCTGCAGAGATCAACAATCGCACCTTGATCGACGGTACCTTACTCCCCTCAAAACTACCACCTGTTAATGTTCTGTTCGAACTTCAGTACTATATGAAGACACACCTGGAGAAGCTGGTCAAACTTGGAATAGATGGACCATGGCCTGAGATGTACAAGCACAGTTCGGCTAAGCGGAACTCCACCCACAGTGGGCGTGGCATGCACCAAAATGGGCAGTACCCCAAAGGCGAAACTTTCAAATTCAATACCTTGTATTTTCCGTAAGGAGTGGGATTCATCGCCTCGTACACCATCGTGTCGTTCTCTCTGTGTATCTCATAGGCGTTTATTCGAGACACATCTGAATACAAGCAGAGAAAGAGAATATGAAAACTAGTATTCAGAGTAGAAGAAGGAAATGATAAGACAGGAGCAGTCCTGAGATTCCGAAAAATCTAGCCTCTCCGAATCGGACCAAATTTTTGAAAAGCCAGCAGGCAACAGAGCGCTTGATTGTGCACAAGGCTACCTTACACTTCCAAAAATCAGAAATCCTGATAACTGAGGAATCACTAACTGGCTGGAAGGTATGCGAGTGGTATGTCTGCTTCACCGATCCATTTGTTGCCATCAATTCGATTCCACACGGACAGCTGAAGATATTCACCTAAACAATGGTGGAAGTGAATGCCATAAGCCTCGTTAGTAGGGTACAATAGCAGTAGAGGTTTCTGTAGCGCCAAGGAGTTATCTGTACAACAAGTGCACGCCTGCGTCGTACCCTCATTGAAGCTGTTTCGTTCACCATCGAGGAAAAGGCAAAGCCATTGCTGATGTGGTCCCAGTTCGACCTCCACGTACTGGTCGTTGTCATTTGCAATGAAGATTTCCAGCACTTCGTAATCGTAGAGCTAGAATAACAGGTGATTAGTAAACTCTGGAAAGGAAGAATTGTGAGAAGAGCAAGGGTGTAGGGCTCACTCCAGATAGCCAGCCTCGGTAATGTCTGGCAGTGGGTCAAGCATGGTAAATATTAATTTTTCGCAAATACGACATCATGTTAACAATTCAAGTAGCCTACCCCCTCCCCCTCCCACCTCTTCCCCCTAACCTGCTTTCTTTGTTTGTTAGCATCACTTCTCGTTTACTTTTCGCACAAATCCGTGGACATACCGATGAGGGAGCAAGGCGGGCACATTACCAGAAAAGGTTGAAATTCTTTGAAAGATTCCCTAAATACTCCTAAATCCCTTAGCAATCCTGAAATTCCTGTTCATTCTACATTACTCATTCGAAAAATTTTTCAGTACCAACCCTCCCTACAAACAGCTCCCATCAGGGATATCTCAGACACTCTAGACCAGGGTCAACCGTGACGTAAGGAGAAATTTTGGAATTTTACAACCCGAGTAGGGGTCCCCCTCACCATCTCACCTTCACCCTCGTCACCATGGCTGCTTCTGCTGTTTCTATAAAATTTCGGATTTCCAAGACAAGTTCTGACGACTATTCCCTTCAGAAACTAGCACGTCCGAACAGGAACGGAGATGAAGAGCAGGGGGGTGATAAAAGGAACGGGCTTTAATGTTCCTAATTCTCGCCCGCCATTTTGAGCCTTTTCCATAATCTTCGTCACAAATATTATAAAAATTCCCCCTGTCAAAATTCATTTCGTTAACCTGCCCTCCATAAAGTACTGCCGGACTATTCCCTTAACCTCTCGCTACCACACCTCACTGAAATTTTGAATACGAACCCCCATACTACAATTTACAAACTAAATAGGCTAACACCACATCACAACCCTCTCTTAATGAAAGTCAAAAAACGATCGCAGGTTTGTATTATTCTGCTTGATAATTTTTGTAACTGTATTGTAATTGTAATATTATTTATTTCAGTAGGCGGTTGACAAGCTGCCTCATGAACACTTTAGCCTTATAGAGCCCTCGATGGGCTGGTCGCTAAGGAGTCGCGCCCGTAGACGCTGAAAACTTTATTCCTACTACGAAATGTAAATTCAGGATAAGTATTGCTCGCCAACCTTTGGAGTCGCGCCAGCAGTATGATTTGGAGCAGGAGGATTGTTGTAGAGATGCTTCTGGAAACAATTATCCATGAATAATTAGATTTTGACAAAATGGGCTGCAATGTGGGCCCCTTGCGTTTCTGGATGGACGATGACGTTCAGCTGTTCGGTTAGTGAGCTGATAGTTAAGGCCCACATTATGCTGCCATGTCGTCAGGCTCGACCTGGACTGGCTGCTTACAAGGGCCAGTTTATGATTTTGGGGGCGCAGCGTCTCATTGTTCTTGCAAGGATCCTTATAGGGTCAGACTGCGGGGGACCAAGATTTGCTTATCCATAAGAAACCTTGCCTTTTAATCACAAAGCCGGCTGACCTTTTTAGGAACGGGAAGAAAAAAAGAAGAGAGAAATGGAAATCTTTTTGAATTCGTAGAAATTTTTCCTACTTCCCAATACATCATGCATGAGCTCCTCCTTCAAGACCCAGACCGCATTCAATCGTTGGGTTTTGCCACTTGGTGTCATCGGGAAATCAACTTGAGCCTGCTCTAGATGCTAGCGACCTTGAAATGTACCACACCTACTTCAAATTTAACTTGTATCGCTTTTTCGGAGTCTTTCCATTGTAGACTTATCCTTATAGGATGTTCGATCGGTAAGCTGTTCCAGGTAGAATTGATAAGAAGGCTCATACCAGGTGTTGTTTTCGGAAGGGTATCCTGTAATGCTCAGGTGAGCCAGCTATCTGAACGCCAAGAAGAATGTCCGTATTATTTCCACGAAGGATATCGTTAACTCTTTCGGAATATGGACTCACCTTCCACTTCTGCACGTAGACAGCCAGGCAGACTGTCAGAGCCACGGTAGACAATATAAATACCATAAGAAGGGAAATTAGAAAGAGCAAAGTACATCGCAATCTGAAAGCTCAGCCGACGATTCTTAAGATACTGTTGCTTTAGTGTAGCAAAAACCCCCTAGGGTATGGAGAATACGAAGGCTACTCATATGGTAAAATCTGTAATATTATGTGGTTGGATACATGAAGAGAGCATACAAATATGGAACTTTTGATAACGGGGTCCAAGCAAAAACGGTACAATCAGTTTAGAGTTTCGAGAGATCTGCGTATATGGATGACTTACTTGAGATGTAATGAACAGTTAAGCAGCGTTCATAGTTCGCGTCGATTGGGCGATAAGGCAAGTAGACGATTAGGGGATCGCACAATGGGCGGGCAAACCGACCGATACGTTTCAATCTTACTCGCCCAATCGAAACGTATCCTTTTCCTTATAAGCTTGCCACTCAATCGTCTAATGGCATACACGATGGCGAACTATGATCGCAGCTTGAGCTTGAGTTCTCCTTGCATTGCCCAGACCACAACATTTGAAAGCCTGAGAGATCATCGTGGCAATCGAAAGTGATGTAATGACACGGGGAAACCTACTCACAAGAATCCTCCCCAGTTATAATTTGTGTGTGCTATAGTTATGAAGATCCAAGGTGGGAAAGAATAATTCAGTGTGCGTGTTTAAATGAAGCAAAATACGTACCTCGGTTTTCTATTTTCCATAGGGAACGTAAAACTTCGACGATGAAGCATACAACCTCCTTGATAGCGCCGAATTTTCAAAGATAACACGCGCTCCAATGAGCAAACAATTCTGGCCAGCTCTCAAGACATCCCATGTTTCCCCTTGTAGACTCGGTCAAAAGTGCATTTACTGGAGCGAATGAACGCGTCCAGAAAAATTAGGAAATTCTTAATCTCTTAAAAAGGATAGAAATCTTCCAAATTCTTCATACCTTTGTGTAGCTGAAAAAACATCAAATAACAAACATTTATTAAATATAACAGTTAACAATATCAAGTCAAAAAAGCATAGAGAAAATCAGTAGTGATCCTTCCAAATGTCCCCGTATTTATAATCAATGAAAGGCTTCGTTCCGTAACCTTCTGGCAACAATCGATTCATATTGATTCGCCCGTAAAACTGAAGTCGATGAAAGTCGGGCTCCTGCAGTAAGAAACTTCAAACATTTCACAAATTGAGGCAATATGTTTTGTAAAAAAAACTATTCAGCAAAATAAGTTGTGGGGAACTACTATGCACAAATACTGCTCACCAGCTAATAACTATTAACTTCCTAGGAATAATAAAAAAATGAAAATGATTACGACGAACACAACACTCCCATCAAGGTTTTCGCTTGAACAGGAGCATTACAGGTACTGAGTAAACCTAACCGAGCATCACAAGAAACTAACCTTAAAGTTCCCATCGGTTACAGGATTCAACGCCTCGTAAACCCGTTCGCTTCCAGTGCCGTGAATCGCAAATGAGTTGAATTTGGTTATGTCTGAAAAAAGTAGCTTGAAGAAATTAGGGCAGATAAACCTTAAGCTCAACACATATCTATCTAATATACGACAAGACTATTGAACCAATAAATGGGGGGGGGGCGGTAGCTTGATCATTCCAGAGACATTAGGGCACTTCAATGAGAGGAATGAAACTACTACTGCAAGACGAACAAAATTTTGCATTACCTCAATCGTTACCGAGCTACATGACCCCAACCTGCAAGCGATGGGCCTAGCTAAAACAAAGCTATATCACATACTACATTGACATAGCTTGGTCAATGGGAGCCGAACAATCAAGTTGGCTGAGATTTGAGCGAACGATTTATGGGGCAAAAATAGACATTAGAATCGTTACGATACACCCGAAACGAGTTACTAATTAAGGCAACCCCCTTAAACAATGGATTAAGATGTACCACTCACTTCCAGGTAGATACGCCAGCGGTAGTTCAAATTCACATTTCCACATGTTTCCAACAAACTTGTTGGTCACCTCGAGTTCCAACTCTTCTCCTGAACACTTAACGCCATCCTACAACTAACAACAATCACTGCATATATAGTAAAATACACTTTTATTGAATGCAAATAGCTGTACAATTCTTTTGCACACGCTCGAAAAACGTTTACTGGCTCTCATTTCCAGTTATTACGAAATGAATTATATAATAGAAAAGGTATGAAGTTTCGTAAGTATGGGATGAAAAATGATTCCAAATGCAAAATATGTATTACCGTTATTGAATGGTTTGCGGATCCCATCAAAAAGAAGACACAGCCAATGTCCATGCGGCCCCACTTCGACTTCGATATACTGATCGCGATTGTTTGCGAAGAAGAACTCGACGACTTCATAATCCCAAAGCTAAAACGTTAACGAGATGAAACCATTTCGGCAGGCTATCCAAGCGGTGTTGATCTGCGAGAGTATGGTCTACACCGTACAACACACTTGGTGCTGATGGAGAGGATTCAATAAGGTTTTTGACTAACAAGGAAAGGATCTCAGGTTGCAATGGCCTATTAGAGAAGAGATGTATACACCTGAATGTGCCTTCGAACGCTGATCTCAAATCTACCTTCCAAATCTGCTAAACGGTTCTCTGAGCGGAACTATGAAGCAAAAGAGCGCGGTCGGGTCTCACAGCCAAGACGTCGTTGGTTCGATCCCCTGACGTATTAACTGATTTACTTCCCTCGGGAATACAGCTAAAATCGCTTTCAGTATCTATTAAGCTGTCTTGCGGAAGGAACAAAAGCAACTAACACGATAGGGGATCGATCCTACGACGTTTTGACTGTGAGTCCCGACCACTACCGTTGCGCTGTTTTGCTTCATAACTCCGTTCAGAGAATCGTTTAGCAGATTTGGAAGGTAGATTTGAGATCAGCGTTCAAAGGCACATCTAAGCGTATACATCTCTTCTTAAGCAGCCATGGCAAGCTGAGATCCTTTCCTTGTGAGCATCTATTTGAGCAAACGACAAAAACACAATATGAATCGTTTACGAACCCCAGGTAAGATTCCTGGAGGATCTGGTGGCTCAGGATCATCGAAAAGAGGAGCCTGTAAGAAAAGAGTACATCATTGAAGTGGTGTACATAACTCATAGTCACAAACAAATGAGGCATGTGTACTTTAAGAAAGAGATGCGGGCGACTAGTTTCTTTGCACATTAAACGTATTGTACCAATTGCAACGAGGCTCCGCTCAATGTATACATTTTGCGTAAGCACTTCAACAAAATAAACAAGAGAAATGATAAATTAGTAGAACTTACCTCAAAGCTGACCCTTATTACTCTTTTATGTGGTTTTCCCCTTTGCTTGGCAAAGTGCCACTTCATCTTTACATGAATGGGATCGTGATCTACGGGAAGGCCATCCCATGTTTTGTCGATGGTGTACTCAAATCCCGACAGAGATGAGCCCGCATCTGACATAACACTAAAACAGATCCATCAGAAATTTATGTAGCTTATTCATGATGGAAAAGGAGTATTGATTCGCTAAACAGCAATGAAACTATTTCAGGAGCCGATTCTGTTATGAAAGTCGAATATAATACGAATAATCGGTAGTTATGGGCGCTTTCATAGTCGATCGTTCGATCGTTACGATCACGACGATCGCACAGTATTAGTTATGTATCGATCGTCAAAGATCCGATCGTAAGGAGAAGGATCGTTACGATCGGATGTGTCAGATGATCGATATGCATCTACTACTCCACCACGAATGATCGGACTTTGGAAAAGCCGCGACGCGCAGGAACGCGTTTGATTGGATTCGTGTTAGATAATGATAGACTGGCTACACTCCCCTGGCTCGGCTACCCTAGCTTTTTGGAAAAACTGCATCACGATGCAGTTCTTCACAATTTCAAACATTCTCAAACGTCCTACGACTTCAGAGTCCTATCTTTTCAAAATTCAACACTGGTGATGCCGAAGCGGGGTGAAAAAGCGGACAACACTCGTATTAATACGGTAGAATGAAATTCGATCTACCGTTTCGATGGTTAAAGGCATAACGGGATCTCAACCACTATGGAATAAAAATTCGGTCATACTTTGCGAACATCTTGAGTCCGAGTGTGGAGTAGATACATATCGACCGGTCGCATAATCGATACGTAGCTACACCCACTCCAACTGGAAACGAAGTGAAATACAGTCGTAAAGTATGACAACAGGCAGGAGGAAGATACTCTGCAGAATAACTCAGGTAAAGGGAAACAGGAATAGTCGCCAGTGGAAAACGATGCCGTTGAGACGGGCTTGACGTCCCAGACAAAATATCGAAGCCAGAAATAATCAGCTCACGATAAGCCGACGTCATATTTCGCAACCATCAGAGCGATTCGCTAGCAAATTGCTGCGATTCGCACACTTAACATCGGGCCTGAAACGGCCCAATATTCAAAACTTTAAGACTCAAGAATCCACTACTACCAGAAAAAAGCTGCCAAAAGGAGTCTAACCAGGAAGGTCTTTCAGGGCGTGACGAGCTTTTTGAAAACGGTCTTTTGCATGATATAGGGGCAGATGCGGGACCACAGAACCATGTTTAATTTTTCCTGAACGGCCCTCTGAATACCAGAAAAGGGGGTCCCTAGTTCGATTCCTCTTGGTGACAAATTTTTGCATTTCGAGTTGACGTTCCAAAATTCGCGCAAAATGGAGTTCTGATTGTTCTGGTTGGTTCTAACTCCATTTTGCGCGAATTTTGGCACGTCAACTCGAAATGCAAAAATTTGTTACCACGAGGAATCGAACTAGGGACCTCCTTTTCTGGTATTCAGAGGGCCGTTCAGGAAAAATTGAACATGGTTCTGTGGTTCCCGCATCTGCCCCTATATCATGCAAAAGACCGTTTTCAAAAAGCTTGTCACGCCCTGAAAGACCTTCCTGGTAAGAACGCAGCTGCTAGCAACACAGTGATAGAGAAAGAGATGCAGAAAGAACAAAGCACTTGAAGGACATGGAACCCGATTTAAAAGCAAACTAGGCAAAAGGAAGGAAGCACGCGTTGCAGAACTGGACGTGGCCACGCGTTTTGTCCGTGACTACGGTGATTATTTGCCAGCCGTTCGACGTGCTTCCGAAATTTGAATCTTCGCAACGGCAGTTCCGTCTCGACGATTTGCATTTATTCTTTTCATCGACGGATTGGTGAGTATGAAATTTCTTGAGCTCCTCCTTCTTGTGCTACTTTTTTCGAGGCCAATACTTAAAAGAACCTTTGAATGAACCTGGACTTTCCCTTTCAGGAATATGATTAGTTTTTATGTTGCTTTTTGCATCGCGTTTTTTCTCCCATCTTTCTTTTCATATCCTTTTATTCTTTCTTCTTCGGTTTTGCTTGCTTTACGAACTTTTCGATTACCCGGTTGTTGCTTTTTCTAGTGAGGTTGCGTCAAGATTGCTGCAAGAGTGGCGCACGGGGCCTTGATTACTCCTACTAATCCTTGTTCCTTTTAAACAAGTTGATCTCTTCGTTCGACATTCCGTTTGTGGATAAGATTGTGTGTTTTATTCCTCGAGTTGTTTTCATTGACCACTAATTAGAGTCTCAGGATTTCTGCCAGCCGTGTGGCTCAGCAATTCAGCGGTTTCTAGTGCTGTCTGGGAGCTCTCACACATGCACACTATTGCAGCATCTCCGCTTTCTTTATCTCCTGTGAGAGGCTTAGTCCCAATACTATGTAAAGCATACACTTTTCCATCTGCATTCTCGTCCATTTGGTTGACAGAAGCCTTGTGACCACTAATTATACGCTACTTATCAGAATCACATCGTAGGGCAACCGCTCGTACTTTGATATTTTTACCATCTGTAGTCCAGCTGCATACTCGGCGGAACATCGTTGTGCGTTTTTTTGCCAAGGCGTCCAATCACCCACAACTTTGCTGAGAATGCATGACCGTATTTTTTGACCCATGTTGTTGATATAAAACTTGAAAACTCAAAATTCACTCTGGTATAATTAGTAAAATTGAAGGCAAGTACACGAAATATATAAAAGGATTTTACGTTTTAGCTCATCCTCGAGTGAAATACATGAGGCAGTAGCTAAATCAACTTTTCGACTGAGCAGCATGTCCTCTTCCAATTGGTGAGGTATTTTCGATGTTTACTTAGAACCACTGCATATTTTTGAGAACTATTTTAAGAGTTATTAGGTGCATTCTTCAATAAACAACTTGTATCCGAAAGTGGCACTTGAACTTATGTTACATCCTCCAAATACTGTTTTATAATAGTGGAGTCGCTGGCATGCTTTGTTCAGTAGTAGGCCGCAGGTTTGAAGTCATCGCCACGTGCTCTGGTTATAATTGAATTAGTTTATGCGCGCACCCCGCAGCCGATTGAAATCGATGAGACGCTAGGGTTTGTTTTTCCTACCTGTACGCCCAATTTTCGGCTTCGTTAGCAAACAGTGCTTGTTTTTCAGTGCTGTGGTGCATCTCCTCTGCGAGAGTCTGTCCAATCTCTTTTCTCTTTTTTTTTTTGCATTTTTCTACTATCCTATGGGTTTTTTGACTTTTTGTATATCTATTATCTTGAAGGTTACTTCCGACGAGTGAGTTTTTCATCTCTGTAATCAGATGTTCATTCTTTGCTAGTAACTTGTTGGCATCGTAGCGTCTTTGAAGGAGCACATTCGTTCGAGTCCCGGTGCACCCGTGTGTCATTAGTTTGCTGAGGCAAATTTTTTTATAAATGGCATCTTACTTAATGCTATCGAATTTCAGTAATAGTCTACAATTTATTCATATTTTGTTTAGATCTTGTGGTCGCACCACTGAGGCTTGATATTTCGTGAGGCCATCTTGAGTTTGATGTTGGTATAGCTAAACCTGTAGTGAGACATGGCAAACGTCTGCTCCTTCGCGTCTTGACCATGCATTTGAAGTGTACTGTAAAAGTACCTCATTAATACCTTACAAGGGAGGTCTTTCAGGGCAATGTGCGCTTTTTCAAAACGGTTCTGCGCATGTAGGGAACACAAAACCATGTTTCATTTTCGCTGAACGGTTATAGCAGCGCCTACGGTTTGGTGCCAAATCGCGCTAAATATCAAAATCAGATGTCAAATTCATCGTCAGGACCATTTTGAAGCCAACAAGTGGCCGCCAACCTTGATTGCAAAATTTAGTCGCCGCGGGGATTGAACCATCAAGGGTATTATTCACCACTTTTTTGGTACTACTAAAACCGTTCAGCGAAAACGAAACATGGTTTTGTGGTCCATACATGCGTCCCTACAACATGTACTAAACCGTTTCCAAAAAGCGCACCTTGCCCTGAAAGACCTCCCTTGTTAGAGGATAGTGAGTCTGATATAACGCTAGAGGGTGCTCAATGAGTAGGATTATCGATTGATAACGGAGACTCATTCATAAACAAAACTTATGACGCAACACTGAAGTCAACGCGATCGGAAGGCCCGCTTTATGTAATTTATCTAATGCATTGGTAAAGTGGCCCGCTATGATGATTTATTGCCTTTTTAACAAAGATGCCTCAAATGGCTTATGCTGGCAGCTCAGTTTGCCATTTCCATGATAATTGTGATATCGTCTGGCGCTTCATGATATGATAATTTTTGTTTGTTTTTGTTTGTTATTTATTCCGGATAGTAGCTTCTCACACTAAAGGCCCTTTCTCATCTTGGGATTCATTCGACAAAAGAGTGCTAGTGTTTCTAGTGACT